GAATCAAATTTACCATGTACAAATGCGACATCTACTGCCAGAGTACTAGAGTAGTGAAGCAACGTAGTGCATGAGTTTCATAGGTGTAGCTGTTGCAACTGAAAATGGTCCTACTCACCTGTACTCACCCCTCTCAAAGTAGTGCAAAATTTAATTACTCCTGCAGAGTCCTACTGGAGTATTTGCATTTACAAAAAAATTTGGATTACATGTGAAAAATAATTATTTTTGAATGCATGGGACCATTTTCAAAAATTGAACAGAAATGGTAATTATCGATTTTTACTGTCGAAAAATGTTGCCAATTGTAGGTCCTCATGTTCTGTAGATGAGACAATATTTGTTGGGCAATTTATTATTTTAGGTGTCCTCTCTATAACGACCTTGTCTATGCAACGATTTTCTCTGGATAAGGAATTTTTGGTCCCATAGGGTTCTTTGCAGCGAGATTTTATCGCTCTTCAGCGAATTTATTCTGGCCCTTAGATTTTTTGTATTGTCCACATTTCTTATTTTTGGTCGCTTGAATTTTGTTGTAGAGTGTCTACATGCATTTTTTATTGTTAGGCAAGGTATCACTGTATTGTACTTCTGAACATGTCTTTGTTCATCAATTTATCAGAGAATGAATTTCCTTGTGGTTTGGATGAAGTACCACCAAAATCGCGTTACTCTTATCTCACGCAAAGATTTCAATGTCGCTCTTGGTCCATCCCGGGCTGTGTTATCTTTTATGCCACGAAAGTCAGGTGAATTATTTGAAGTCTTGGTGCATTTTGTTCAGGTTTTCGCAACAAGGCAACATGCGTCGTCATCGTATCACGCACATGAACCTGAAGTCTTCATCTCCTCAGCCGTTTCTGAATCCTTTCGTGATGCAGTCCACAGCGCCATCTACGGACAATCCGTTCGTCACGCCGCCGTAACCCGAGTGTTTAATAACATTTTAGAACACAAAAGACGAAGGAATTCCAACGAGGTGAGAGAGAAAGAGAGTGAGAGTGAGAGACTGGAAGCAATAGCCACGAAATTTCAAAGCAAGCGAGTAAGTTTGCAAAACCTGGGAGGGAGGCAGGAAATTGATGATGATGCTGATGTGGGGGAAAAGAAAAAGAAACTGCGAGGATTTTACTTCGGGAACGGTGCATTAAAAAAAGGGAAAACACGCGTTTTCCGTCCGCAGTGATTTTTGCTATGTCGAGTGTAGGGAACTTTGCGGCCATATTCTGAAAAAGAAGGAAATTTTCGTGGATAATCAAATCCCCGATCCCGAGCTGTACAAAGAAAGCGAACAAGACTAATTATTATTTTTTTCGTTCGTGGAAAGGTTTCTCATTTGTTGGGCCCTCATGTGCCTTTCGGTGTCAAAACACCCTGTTCTGGCAACCCTGGCGTTTGTTTGTTGATCAGCACTTCGTCGTGGATTTAATTTAGGAAGAAGAAACTTGCGAAGAATTTCTCAATCAGTCTTGCGAGTCGCCGACAAATTTTTCATTGCTGGCCACTGAAACGTGGTTGTCAATTTTGAATCATTATTATTTTTTTAAATATTGAACAGGATGTCAGGCGAGGGTTTATTTCATTGCAGACAGGTGAAGTAGAGATGCAATCAAAAATTATGTGATGGACCCACTGTAATTGAGAAGTTGGCGTTCTCTAGTTTTTTTTAGTCAATGATCCTACGAAATGTTTTGACATATTCTGCAATATTTGTTAAACTCACAGTTGGCGAATTTTCATATATTTTCAGGAACCTTGCACTGAAACGATACTTCTGAAAGGGAACATTTCAAACGTTAGATTTATTCCTGAACAAATTTCCCAATATTTTTTTCCGAAAAAGTCATGATTTTCTGCATAGAAATGGATGCAATATTTTGTTACAGATTGACAGAAAAGGTGCTTGAAAAAAACTAATCGTCATGTTTCACCTGGCTGCAGTGGTAATTCGTGAGAAATCCGTGAGACTTTTTGAGAAAGCCCTCCGGCTCCTGGTTCTAATTTTCTTATTTTAGGGGTTTCTTGGAAATGATTTCCAAGTGTTCAAAAATTGGGAAGAGGTTCCCGGGGAAGAAAAGAAAAAAAATTGAATTCTAGGGTTGCTGGATCAGTGAGTTTGAAATCTGACCTGGAGTCGGCTTGGTGGATGAGAGAACCTGAAACGATGGTTTTATTTTGTGGTTTTTTTGTTTTTGTGGGGAAGATTTTTGAGTGTAAATGGGGATGGAAGAGTCTTTCCGAAGGGAACGAATCCGAGATACGTATCGAGTCTGCGTTATTGTGGAAAAGGAAAAACGTCGAGGTCCGTCTCGGTCGTTTTTCTTTTTGTGTTCGAGCTTCTCTATGAGTTTTTTTTTTTTTTTTTGTGTTTCGGACTCTCTGGTGTTTATGAATCTCGGAAGACGCATTTTGTTTTCACCCCGCTTGTCGCGTGCCAAATCTTTTCGGGAACCGATATACGTACGAGTGCCAGAAGGTTTTTTGGAGTTACGAAACTTGGGCAAATGAGGATTTATATATTATATATATTTTGGAGAAATCGCGGAAGCTACTGGACCGAGGCTCGAGGAAACGAACCCACTGAATCGCATTTTTTGCTAGCTCTCCGGCTCAAGGTGTTTTTTGCTCATTGGGAACAAAACGTTGCGGGGGGTAATAGTAGTAGAAGGAAAAGAAGAAGGAAGAAAGACTGAAGAAACCGAGGAGTGATTCTGGAAGCAGAGAACGTGATTTTTGTGTCAACGAATGTATCCGGAGCCGCACAAACCCCGGCTTGCTGTTCTCCTTCCAGTGCCTGTTGTGTTTTTTTTTGTTTGTTTGTTTTCGTGGTGCTTTTTATGATCTGGGGGAAACGAATAGGCTGTTGCTGGAGTCTCTGAGCGTGCTCTGTGTGCGCGGGGAGAGCGGATCGAGTGTACATAAGGACGGAATCGGTTTTTTTTTGGTTTTTTTTTTGTCTGTGTTTGGATGATGCCATATTTTAACAGGGACACGCGACTCCTGGCGGTAGTTGGGCTTCGGTTTTTAATTTATTGCCTGCTTCTCTCATTGGTCTTTCCGGGGACACGTCGCGGGAAATCGACGGAGGAAATATAAAACTTTGTTTCTCATGTTCTCTCCTTTTGAACGTTTCCGAGTCCTTCAAAAGTGCTGCTATTTTGTACCCCTCTACTGTACCTTCTCCTTTTTTGGTAATTGGAAACTGGGAATGGGACACGAACGTTTTGTGTCTCCTCCTGGTTTCTATCGTTTTTCTTCTTTTTTTTATATTAATTGTCGTGAAGGGAATTCTCCAATTGCCAATTTCCACTCTTCTCTCGGGTAGGTTGACTTTAATGTCGTTAATCTTGAAGAAAAATTCCGTGTTGGTCGTTTCTTCGATCTGTTGACGAGCGAGTTTATTTCGAGTTTTAGGAAGTTCAAATTTTTTGCACGTGCCCGAAGTCTCTACGGGTTATGTTCGCATTCATTGCGTAATTTTCAATTCCTCAATTGATCTTTTTCAAGTCTCAATTGATGAAATGTGTCGGGCTTCTTCTTAATTTGAAGAGGGAAGAAGTATTTCCTTGCGTTTCGTTCTCGAATAAAAATATTTCCGTTTTTTCCCGGGAAATTCCGTGAAATTTTTCTTCGCAAAAATTAACTTACTCGTATATTACGAAAGGGCTAATTAAGATACTGTACTGTTCTAACTTATTGAGGGCTAGCATTTTTAAGAAATCTCATATTTTCCGTGTACGAAATGCGAACGATCTCACGAAAGAGGATTTTCTGTGTCAAATTTGCAAAGTTCATTTCCAGAAACATGTCGGATGAGAGATTAATTTTCTTTCCCCTGTCTTCTGACTTGAGGTTTCCCTCAGCTGGTGTAATTTCTCTGATTTGAGGGAAATATTAATTTGTGGCCCGAAATAAAATATTTTGAGGACTTTTTTGTCATAGAGTCGAATATTTTCGCGGTAAAATTTAGCCGTAAATTATTGAGCTAGGCATAGACTTCTCAAGTAACCCAGTGCGTTTTTTTTTGTGGAACTAGTGTATTTCTCTGTAAGCCTCAGTAAAAATTAGTGCTACATAATTTTACGAAAGCAAACGAGATATTTAGATCATATACTGACAATTTTCGCGAATAAATTAATTCAACTGCGTAGTCGATTCGGAATGAAGGCAATTGTATTCTCCAGAAGAAGGTGAACATGAAGCGGATCTGATTTTTTATTGATGACAGAAGGCTATGCATCTTTTTTGCAGAAGAAGAGACTTGAGATGCCCCCGGCCGTTTTGAACGCGGTTGTTGCCGGGGACCCCGTGGACGATTTAGTGTGTGGATTTTGCGAAGAGCTTTTTAAAAACGCTGTGAGTGTTCCGTGTTGCGGCAGGCCGTTTTGTAGGGATTGCGTGTCCAAGATTTTCGACGCGGATTCCAAAAGTGAAGGCAAATGTCTGGCCTGTGGAGCTTCTTCCACTGACCCGTCTGTCGTCATACCCAACAGGTCAGTCGGAAAGGGGATTATCGAGAGCGATGACCCGGATAACGGACGCCTTGTTTTATGCTGCGTGGAATGACCTTGGGGGGAAAAATAAGTTGGATAAAATGTTTCTCGAGTTGATACCGCGCTTCAAACTTATCTTCAGGTGTAAAAAAAAAATGTTCTGTGAGTCTGAAAAATTTTTTTCACTCCGTAAAATAACATTTTGCCTCTAAATCAATATATCCTTTGATTCGAAGTCTTGTTTTATTTTTATTGAAAATTTAATTTAAAAGAAAATTCGCCTTTGAGCAAGAAACGCACCCCAATCTTTCACCCTAAAATATTGATTAAATTCTATACCCGAGGAAGACGCGCACCCCATTTTTCCACAGAAAATTACAATATTTCAAAAGTAAGAGACAACATAATTCGAATTTCAGCGTGAATTCAATCAATTTTAAGCTTTTTAAAAATTTCCTGTCCAACATTTTCTATTTTATTGAAGTGTGATGCACACCTAAATTTCGAGAAAAAAATTGAAAATGGTATCCTTGTCCATGACGTGCACCCCCTGTTTTTTTCTCTTAATTTTGAGAAAAAGGTTCGCGTGGTACTTCAGTAATCAGTCTTTCAAAAGTGAGAAGCACTATGATTTAAATTTCAACAAGAATTCAATTCAATTTCACCTATTCTGATTTTTTTCGAAGGTTCTGTTCAAAATTTCCTTTTCTTTTCAAGTATGATGCAAATCTAAATTTCTAAAAAGAAAGGAAAATGTATCCCTGTCTATGACCCCTGTTTTTCTATCAATTTTGAGAGAAAGGAAGTACTGGAGTAAATACAGTAGTTCAAAAATAAGAGACACGAAAATTCAAATTTGAACTCAACTTCAACCACAGTAATTTTTATTGTTTTGACGTCTGATTAAAAAAGTTCCTGTCAGAAATTTCTTATTATATTCAAGTCTGACACGCACCTAAACTTATGACAATTTTTGAAAATTGAATTTCTACATGTGATACAAACCCACTTTTTCATCTCAATTTTGAGAAAAAGGGTGCGCATCTTGCTTGAGTAAATACGGCATATCCGCGTGAATGTATTTATTAATCTCAACCATTGTTTTGTGTATGCGTAGATTCTTCAGGAAGAAGGTTGAAGTATTCTTGCAGAAGAATCCCAACTACTCGGCGAAGAAGACCGTTTCTGAAAAGGTGCCTGAAGAATCTCCGCGACCGGATTCGAGACAAGAGAGGAGTTCGCGATCGAAATCCCCGGGAGATGTCGTTGCTCACAATGTCGGACACGCGGCGTCCTGTTCTCCTATTTCTTCCAAGTCTGGAAGTCCGGACAGAGAATCTCCTGAACGGGAACGCGAACGTGAACGGAAGTGAGTCCACTTTTCAGTTTCCTTTAAAAGCGGTTCAAAAAATTATTCACTGATCGCTAAATCTTTTTTACGATACTGTCCTTTGAAAATGCGTTTTTTTGTGTGTAGCCGAATTCATGTATTATTATTGAATATTTATCTTGTAAAATAACATCTGTTTCCATCCATCCATTAATCAAACAATACAAGCAAATTTCATTATTCTCGTTCACTAAATAAGTAGGAATTTCTTCATGTGTTAATTTTCCCTTTCAATCATGAAATCATGAATTCCAGAAAAATGATTGAAACCGTGAAGACACCCTAGATGGGAGTTCATTTTTTTTAATTTTTAGTACACATTGATGACGTATTTGATAACTTTGACTAAATGCTAGGGAATTTATTTAACCTCTATTTTTCTTTTTTCCAGGCCATTGGAAGGTTCGGTTCCGCCACCAGAAATAGTTCCAGTTGTTCCGCCGCCAATGCTGGACATGAGCCAGCCGCCGCCAGTCATCTTGCCGCCTGTGATGCACGGCCTGGTACCGCCGGGGATGCTGCCGCATGGCCCACCTCCGATGCTCATGCGGGAGTCCATGTTGGGCCCGCCGATCGTTCAGCCGTCTGTGGAAGTCGTAGACGATCCTTTGGCAAAGTTCAACGAGTTTCTGAGAGAACAAGAGCAGAGGAAGCAGAGAGCGAGGCGACGGTCTCCGTCACCCTATTCCGACAGGAGACGACGATACCGGTGCACATTATTATTATTTTTATTATTAAAGCAGGTTTACTGTCTCTCCAAACCCCAAAAAGTTGATTGTAGAGAACCCCGATGGGTCAAAAAATCGTTATAAAGAGTAAATCGTTGTGGGGAGAGTCTGCCTGTATTACAGGTGAAACTGTTGCGGTATTATTATGTATTTTTGACGGACATTCCAGAAAGCTGTCAAAACGGATAAAAATCAATTTATGCTTAAATCATGGTTCAGAGGCTGGAAAAAAATTTTTAAATTTAAAGTGGTTTTTTTTTAATCGAAGATATTTTAAGGAACACTTCAGAAAGCCGAGTAGGGTGTCAGAACAAAAGAACATACATTTTTGTTTGAAAAATGCTGCAAAAAATATAGAACAATTGCGTTATTTAAAAGTGAGTTATTTAAAATGTGAAGAAATCTCAACAATATGCGGTTCTTGCAGTTTTATTGCCTGACGTCTCCTGTAGATGTCGCATGAGAATTGCCATGTTTTGTTCTTTTTAAGTTAGGATAATTTATTTTCACACATTGTGTGAGGTTGGGTTCTTTTGTATCCTCAGGTTGGGTTAGTTCAGATCTATTCATGTTAATTTGGGCCAAGTTTGTTAGTCGGGTTACAGCTACGTGCAATGTCAGAAAGCAAGATCGAGCGTCGAAACGCGAGGAATCCCTTCTGCAATTTTCCGATTCCGCGTTTAGAAACCTGCAAAGAAACATACTTCGGCGGGGAAAAAAATTGGAGGATCACGAGAATGACGTAAATGTTAATGAACCGGAATGTATCTATTGTGAGAAAAATAAGTGCATGTTCTTTGTTTTTCAAAGTTTGAAATAAGTTCTGTGAAATTTCAGATCACGCAGCAGATCGAGATCGAGGTCACGATCCCCGGGGCGCCGTCGAAGACGTCGTGGTTCCCGATCCTTTTCAAAGTCTCCTGACTTGTCGCCGTCTCGAAAACGGAGAAGTGGTAGTCCGTCGCAACCGGGGCCGCCAGGAACGTCCCCGCAACCCCTGCCGCCGCCGCAAATGGGAATACCGCCCCCACAAGTGCCCTTGATGGGACAGTACGATTTCCAAAGACAGGTTCCTGGAGAACCTGAGCGACAATTCCAGGTACTGATCTTACTATTGCTCTTTTTTTGGATTCTTGAATAACTTTTTTGGGGGTGAATCGCGATTGAGTTTGATGCAAATGTGTCCGAAAAGTTGATTTCCTTACGCTTATGGGAGTATGCGAATTTATTTTTTAAT